GGGGCGGGAGCTCGCGTGAGCAGAGCGGCACACACGACACGCGCCGGGCGGATGCAGCGGCCCGCGCCTCAAACTGCGCCCTCGTGAGCGGCGCCAGCCCGGCGACCTTTCGCTTCAGGTTGAAGCGATGCAGCTCCGTGTGGTAGTGCGCCTTCATCTCCGCCTCGGTGGCGAACGTCTCGCCAGGCGCCGTGTAGCAGCGGAACGCCTTGTCCTCTGTGACCTCCTCCATCGGCCGAGAGGGGCCGCGCAGCATCGCTGCGAATGCCGCGAGTGGGCACGCGGCAGGGCGGATGACTGCTCGATGCGGGCAAAAAGAATTAATTCCTGCATGCGGCCCGCCCCCATCCCTCCCTTAAGAGAGATAGGAAGAGGCGGACGCCCAAGGGTGGGCGACGGCTAGTGCACCACACCCCTCTCCTTAAAATCCCTGTGTGGTGGCGGCGTGCCGTCCTCTCTCCCATCCCTCCCTTGGGTTGTCCGTTTTCTTTCTTTCTTTTTCATCCCTCCCTTATCATCCGTAGAGGCACGAGTGTTCGAAGAGAGAGTGGACCTGAGCAACAACATGACCTGTAGGCAAATGATCGGAGTGGGAGTCAGAAACGTGGTCCTTGCGCGAGGGGAGCTCGATAGACTCGAGGGGCCAGGATACGCCGCGAGGAGGACGGAGTTGCGCCGAAAGGCGAAAGAAGCCGCGAGAACAAGGGACCGGCAGGCGGCGGCGTCACAGGACGAGGCAGAAGGGAACGACGCGACTAGGGTGCCCACAGGACCCAAAAGAAAATAGCTTTCCCGCCCCTCAAAAAGGGACGCACGAGGCAAATCTGATGTTGGCCAGTTCCAATAGGAGCGAGGCCTAGAGTTTGCTGCAGAGATTTCACGTTGTAGAGCGCCTCTACATCGCTCTACAACGGAGGCACGCGGCGGAGATGTACAGTAGAGCTCTACAGCTTACAGCTCTACAGCGCTCTCCAGCACTACATCTCTACAGCTCTACAGGCTACAGCGCTCTACACTCAAACACTCTATCTACATCCTCTACATACATCTGTCTGTCATCGCAACCCCAAAGAACAGAAAAGAACCAAAAGATGCATGGCAGAGCTCAAATCAAAAAGCAAAACACACATGTAAACAACACATGCATGTGCATGTGAAAAAGCGGAAAACCCGAGCTCGGAAAACCCGACCTCCCTTGGTGCCCGCCGGAACGCGCCCATTTTCAGCCGGAACGCGCCCATTTTCAGCCCAAACAGGGTTCCATGATGCGCGTCATCGCCTGCCTTCTCCTTCCGGGCCTTGCGCTCGGAGGCCACTGCTCGAGGAGCACCGTGCCAGGCTACTGCTGCTCCATCGGCTGCGACACGGCGATTGATCTGACGCTTTACGGCATGTCGCCAGCCACGTGTTCCGCGGGCGACGCAACTCTCGCCGACATCTTTGCAGTCGCGCAGGCCGATGGCTGCGGCCCGCTGACGGAGGGGAGCTGCGCATGGGATGCAAGCGCAGATGCGAAGTGCATCAGCCAGGGCCTTTGCCCGGCCGCGGTACCACCAGCCACAGTTGGGTGCCTTCCGGGCGTGCTGGCGGGCGCATCACCGTCGCCACCCATCTCGCCTCCTCCGCACACGCCGCCGCCCTCGCCGCCGCCCCCCTCGCCGCCGCCCCCCACGCCGCCGCTCCCCGGGTCGGCGCCCCCGACCCCCGAGGGGGGGGGGACCCCCCCCGAGAGCACCCCCGCCGCCCCCGGGGGCCCGCCGACCCCCCGGGAGCGCAGCGCCGACCGAGACAGCGCCACGCCCACCA